GTTTTTAAGAATAGCTAAAATACCCCTGAAAAAAAGGAGCCAGGTCCAGTGGGGCTGCCCTCCTAGAGTCAGACTTACTTCAAAGCCGTTTTAATTGTGGCAGTGATGTGCTGATGCAGGAATTCACAAACAGATGAGTAAAACAGAGCCGCCCATGTTTATGGGAAAACTTGACTTATGACATAGCAGGCACTTACAATTACAGCAGCAGAAGGGACCGTTAGATAAATAATGCCGGAATAATTGGTCCTCCTTAAGAAAAGTAAATGAAGTTGGATACTTACTGCGTGTCACACCCAAAATCAGTTCCATGAGGGTTAAAGACAAATATGAAAGGCAAAAATATAATTCTTTTTAAAGATAATATATGGGAGAATATCTTTATGATTAGGGAATAGAGAAAGGTTTCTTAAATAAGACACCAATTGGATGGGGAGGATATCACATACTCTAAAATGTGGCTCCTGGGGCCTCTGAGCAGGGTACCTTTCCTTAGAATGGGCTGTGGTTATGTGTGAATTTTTTCAAGTGTGTGAAAATCACAAATACCAAGAGAAAATTTTTTCAGTGTGTGTGATCAGGCAATTTGTATGAAGAAATACAAACTTCAGCGAAAATACTCTTTTTAATAATAATACAAATTTTTAAAATCCTGAGATAACTGCTTAATAAAATTACAAGAAAACAGTGTCTGAAGCTGATAGCAATGTGAGGATGTTTCTCGTACATGTGATACTTGGGAATTGGTGATGCATAGTGCCACGGAAGGTTCTTGACTTGGCTGATCTCACTCCTGGAAGTTTCTTCTTAAGGCAAAAGTGAAATTTTATATATATATATATATATATATATATGAACATCATCACTTAGTATCTTAACAGCAGAAATCTCTAAGGAACATACATGTCCAAGAGCCATTTTTTAGGAAAAGTGTGAGCTTAAAATTATTAAATATATAGTCATTTTTGAAAACTAGAAAAAGTCGAAGGATTTTTACACGTGGCCAGTATGTCAGAGTATGAATGGAAGAGGTGTGGAAGGTTATCAGCAAATAAATATGATGAGTAATTATGTTGCTACCTTGGCAGGATATAGCAGAGAGGTTTTTTCACCATTGTCTTAACATTAACATAGAATGTATTTTTATTTTAAAAACACTCACTAGACAATTGTTACATAGTTGTTATGACAGGCCTCAGAATGAAGATTTTAAAAGGTTTTTTTAATTCGCTTTCATGAGTTTAGGAGGACAGTGGTCTGTCCTATCATCGACGTGATCAGCGACGATACTTTTGAGTACATGGCCGGCTCTGACATGACCTACGGCGGGTTCAACTGGAAGCTCAATTTCCGCTGGTATCCTGTTCCCCAGAGAGAGATGGACAGAAGGAAAGGTGATCGGACTCTTCCTGTCAGGTAGTTAATTTGTCAAACATTTTCCCTAACGTGTTGTTGGCAGAGGGGTTTTGGGAATTGTATTAGCAGGATTAGAAGTGTATTTTGAGAGACATGAAGCGTTTGTGCACTGTACGTGTAGTTAGGAGCCATCTTTCACACACATCATCATTTCAGAGAGGGATTTTTTTCCTCTGATGAATTAATAAAATTAGAATCTTTCATTTCTGTAAATCTAGTGCCAGTGAGATGGTGATATGCATATGTTCTTTTGTTCCTGTATGAACATTTTGCAAGTCTGTAAGTCAGATTCATGCTTTAATTCAGTTATTTAGGATAAAAATATTTAACTTAAACAGCCCCTTAATTAATTGTAAGTGCCGGTATGTGAAAATATTACCTAAAACTGGGTCCTTGCACTAGAATCTTAAGATTTTAAGTTCAGACTCATACCACCTGATAAGATTAGTAAAATTGTTTCAAATATAAAAATAGCCAGAATTGACAAAAGTATGGAAAAGGATTTCCGTGAACGCATTTCTGCTTTTTCTTTTGCTCTACATTTGGTCATATGTGGATTTTTTTCAGAAAGGGATAAAAACCGTTATGCTGTCTAGGACCTTTGGAGTGAGACCTTGAGCTTTCTGAGCCATCGTAGGATTTGTCCTGGTTGCATCAGCCTGCTGCTTCTGTAGTAATTGGGAGTTCCTGCAGAACCAGGCTTTTTAGCTTTCTTCTCTCCTGGGCTTCCCAGATCTGTCTTCCTTTGAGTTAAGTCCAGTTCTGGCAAAGCTGAAGAGGTTTCACTAATTCTGTGCTCTTTCTCCCTAGCCAGCCCGAGGCCTTTCCTAGTAAAGGGACTTCCCCACTCTTCTACTGACGACAGTTCAAATCACCATCTGAACCAAGTGTTCCTAAGCATTTCACAGATGATGGACTTCTTTGAAAAATCTGATAAAAAGCTATGAGTCTCCTGTAAAGGGGGTGGGGGGAGCAGGGATGTACATGGGCAAACAGAAGGTTCTGCATATAATCCTAGGACATTTAGAGTGACCCCCAGACCCAGGTCAAGAAAGTCTTGCACTCAGTGATGAAGCTGGGTGTTGGCCCTTGTCCTGTGCCTCCTAAGGTATTAGACCTTCTTCCTCTTTCTTCTCTTCTAAAATCAAAGTAAGTCCTAGCTTCTTTGTGGAAATAACTATTTCTACTAGGGCCGCCCTGACCAGTGCATGGAATGAGTATGTTTTAGGCCTACAGAGATGGCCAGTTCATCCTAAAATACGATCTGCATAGTGTTCTCTGTCTCTGGAACTTAATTACTTTCTCCTAGTTGGAGTCCTTTTTTTCTCCATACTCATTCCTCAAGGAAACCAGTGTTTGATTTTCATTTATTTAAATCCTCTTTCATTATCATTTCTCTGCTTAATTCTGTGTATTCCCACCCCCTCTGCATACCTGGGCCAGGCTTCGAGGCAGGGTGTGTACTGGACTCAGTCAGGGTGATGAGCCCCTAGGAGGAGCATGTGGATTTTATTCTGTTCTTCATCTCCTTCCTTAAAGGTTCACAGAAAGGGCTGCATTGTTTTCATCCTATTTAATCTTACATCTCTGCAATGTTTGCCACCCTTTAGAAGCTGCTCTGTTAGAGCTGCTGGTATGAGTCTAGTTGGTTAATGTGCTCAACTGCATTTACGGTTGCTAGGAACTATGGAGTGGGTACACAGTCAGGTGGAGAGGATTTCAAGAAGCAGCTTCATTTTAAGGAGTTTGGGGTGGAAGCTCAGTTGGGACCCAAGGACCAGGAAGGGTACTAAAGACAGTAAGAGCCCTTGGGACTGGGCCGGGAAGGACGTCCAGGCAGAGAAGGATGTCCGGGCAGGAGCTGTGACAGCATGACTGGGGTGCAGGTCATGTCTGGAAGCCAAATAACACAGCATAAAAACAAAGCGAGCCCTGGGGGCCAATGAACGTTTCTGAAGAGTGTGAGAATAAGCATTTATTCCGTAGTCATAAACCGTTATAAAACTACTTTTAAAAACAAAAACTGATAGTAAATTTTAAATTGTTACAATTAACAGTATAGTATTATGATTGAATTTCAGAACACCTACAATGGCAGGAGGCCTTTTTTCAATAGACAGAGATTACTTTCAGGAAATTGGAACATATGATGCTGGAATGGATATTTGGGGAGGAGAAAACCTAGAAATTTCCTTTAGGGTAAGTTCCCTTTGAAAAAAGTAATCTGTGTAACCTCAAATATGGATATGCTTTAAATATTCATGTTATCTCTAAATAAAAAATAAAAAGTGAATATGATATGAGTTTAATCAGACTTAACAGTCTTCAGTCCATAAACAGTTTGGTGATACTAGTAAGGATTCATTCTGAACAATTTTAAGCAAATAAATTAGTTTTCTTAATAGCCCGCCTGTAAAACTCACACAAGATTCCATAGTTGTTTTTAATTTGTTACTTTCAAGGAAGTAATCTAAACTCTAAAAATAAACAAAAAATAACATGTAGATGCTACTGTGTTACTTAACTGCCAAAAACATAATTTCACTTTCTTTAATATGCTGTGTCCTGGTTTGAAAGTTTTTCTCTTGTCTAAAACCTGGTCATTTCACCAGCTTTGTATTTTTCGATTAAAAAAAAAAAGGCAAAAGAATTCTGAAATCACTCTGAATTAATTTTACCCAGTCAGCCTTGTCTCATGCATTTCACGTTCATAAAAATCAACATATTTTTAAGATGACGTAAATAATGGACTTTAGACACATGGCTTATAGCGGAAACCACACTGAGTTGCCCTGAGGCCTAACGCAGCTAGCTCGCCTTGTTCCTGGTGGGGCGCTTTGCCCTTTATGAAAGGAGAGGTTTGGACTCCTGATCGTCTTGGAGATCCCACCCACCTGTATCACTTTACAATCCTGGAAAAACATTAAAGTAGGAACACTGAATATTTAACAAAATCAAAACTTTTCAAAATGTGTTTTAATTGTAATTAGTTAGAAGATGTTTAACTTATGGGAAAATGTTTTGAAAGGAGCAGAAGGATAATTAATTAAGGATGTGAAACTGTACTTAATGATCTTTCTTGTACCCCTTTTTGTTTTTATTCTGACAAAGACAATAGAGTGTGTTCTCACTGTCCCACTGAGTCTCGCGTGAGTCATCCAGGTTCGATTCCTAGGTTCTAGTTGATGCACAGGCTGCGACACAGGTTTGGAGGAGGAGGAACAGATAGGACTCTGGCTGAATGTTCCGTGGTCAAAGGTTTTTTGACCATATTAATGAAGTTATACGCACAACCCAAAATGTAAACATTTCAGGGAACAGTATGTCCTTGTTAGTAAGTACAGGTTGCAATCCATCAAATTTGAATTTTATGACCCTTGTAAGAGTGATGGCCTGCAGTTAGAAAAATACTGCTGTAGATGGCATGTCTTTTCTGAATTTAGCCTTTAACTTATCCTTCTGAATTTAACCTTCAGCTTCTGGTTCGATCAGAACCACACATAGAGGAAGCACTTGCTTTGTGACCATATAACAGGAGCTCCACTGTACACCCTTGATTGAGCCCAATAGATGTGAACGATTTTTTAAAAAACTATTGGTGTGTAAAACCGGTCTTCCTTGCTGCTTTCAGATTTGGCAGTGTGGAGGGACTTTGGAGATTGTCACATGCTCACATGTCGGACATGTGTTCCGGAAAGCTACACCCTACACGTTTCCAGGAGGCACGGGACAGATTATCAATAAAAATAACAGACGACTTGCCGAAGTGTGGATGGATGAATTCAAGAATTTCTTCTATATAATTTCTCCAGGTTAGCATTGTTTTGCATTGGAAATACAAGACTCTCTTGACCCTGATCCTTATGCATTCTGAGGAGGGGTAAGAAGGGGTGGAAAAGAAGCTTTGAGCAGAGGTGAAACATCTACCTGCTAGGCTGTTGTAGGAATAAGTGAAAGCACACACAGCACAGAGAGTGCCGGCGGAATGCCTGCTGCGGTATGTCAGTGACGGCGGCGGTGCGTCACCCAGTGCTGCAGAAGTTACTGTTGGTCCAGGTGCTGTCCGTGTTCTTTTTTTTTTTAAAACCCAACTGCAGCATTTAGCGTTTATATGAGACCGCCAAGTATTCCAGGGCGAGTGCAGAGCCCTCCAGCATGCCTCAAGGGACTTCTCTCCAGGAACTTTGCTCTGCTCTTCCGAGTGTTGTGGGAGCAGCTGTTCTGTCAGCTGTGACTCCGCCCAACATTGTGGCCATTCCATCCGCGTCTCGTCACCGCTGCCCAGTGGCAGGGTGCGCGACGCAGCCAGTCGTGTGCGAGAAACCTGACTGAAAACAAGTGTTCTGTTCAGTATTTGGGCAACACTGATATTTATTTTTGTTTTTGCCTTAACAAATCTTAAAGTGTTCTGGCCCCATATAACTTACATTTGTTTGTAATAATATTAGCATGTGTATCATCACATAAATTTCATTTTTCTTTGAAAAACACATATTAATGGATTTCCTCGTTTTGTCCTTGGGAGGTGGGTTTATGGTGTCACCTGCGTAGTCACGCAGCACCAACTGCTGCCACTTTTCCCATCCGTCTGGCTTGTTTGTTACCTAGTAGCACGTCAGTAACTCAGTCACTTCTTTTGACAGGTGTTACAAAAGTAGACTACGGAGATATATCATCAAGGCTGGGCCTGAGACACAAACTCCAGTGCAGACCTTTCTCTTGGTACCTGGAGAACATTTATCCTGATTCTCAGATTCCACGTCACTATTTCTCTTTGGGAGAGGTAAGGGGAGAAAAGTATTCTGTGTGGTTATCATGTTCTCACTAATTTATCAAAAAAAAATAGAGGTTAAACTTGTAAGCAGGGAGCACCTTCGTATTAAGATTACATAGTCCAGTGTGGGAAAGTTCTTGTTAGCTGACAGTCTACCTTATCACTTGAAACTTTTTTTTTCATGTTATGTTTTGTTAAAATAAGAACGCTGTGCCCCTAACCTTTCACAGTTGGACCTTTGTTACAATATATTAGTGTCTTCGGTAGACGACTTATTTTGACAAACTGGCCCATTTAGTTGAAACCATATATTCCTGAAGCTAATGTCCTAGCGTTAATTAGCCCGAATCAAAGTTTGAGGAACTTCCAGTAAAGATAAATGTAAAGAACTGACAAGGAAACTTGAAAGACTGTTTATGGTAAGCTGTATTTTTAGCATCCGTTTATCTTCCTTCAGGAGCCCTAAATCTCAGTTTGGGATGCAAGTTGGAATGAGTGGTGGTTAGCGTCTTTATTCCTGATGATGCCTTAGTCATGGCACCTAGAATTCAGCAGCAGATTTTCTTGAAACTTAATAAGTAATTTACTTATTGATGCTCATATTTAGTTAATGTAATTACCTGTGCTTTGGAGTTCGGCCTTTTTACCTTGTGGCTGCCCACAGTGTGGGGTCTGGAGTGAGACAGACTTCCCTTCCGGTGTGACTCCTCCTGCCAGGACGCTCAGGAGGCAGCGTTCCTCGTGCCCCTCCCCACCGCATCCCTAGAGGGTTGAGAGCCGTTCACTCTGCGTCCCTGCCGACGCTGGGCTCCACGTGTAGCAAGTCTGAGTGGGTCCTTCTCTTTAGCCCAGGGGTCTGATCAAGTCACGGATTCTGTTAGCTTCCCAGGGCTGCCACCGAGTGGCTGGAACAACAGAAACGTACCGTCTCAGTTCTGGGGATGAGAAGTCTGAGATGAGGGTCTGAGCAGGTTTGCTTCCTTCTGAGCTCTGTGAGGAAGGATCTGTCCTCTGCCTCCTTCTGGCTTTTGGGGTTTGCTGGCCACCTTTGGTGTTCCGGGTGTGTGGACGCGTCACCCCGATTCCTGTCTCCTAACCCCCAGTATCTCAGAATGTGGCCTTATTTGGAGATGGGGTTTTTACAGAGGCAGTTAAGTTACAGTGAGGTCATTAGGGTGAGCCCTACTCCAGTGTGACTGGGGTCCTTGTGAAAAGGGCACGTTGGGAGACACTCACACACAGGAGAAGGCATATGAAGATGAGGGCAGAGACGGATTTTGGGGAAAGAGTATTCCAGGCACAAGGGAAAACAAGTACGAAGGACATAAGGCAAGAATGCGCTTTGGCACGTTCCGGAAGCAGCAGAGAGGCTGGCTGGCTGGAGCAGTGAGCCGGGGGGAGCAGTAAAGGAACAGGCCAAGACGTAGTGAGGCCAGATCACACAGAGCTTGCAGGCCGTGGGGAGGACTCCGGGTTCGGTTCTGAGGTGGGAAGCCACAGGGAGCGACGAGCAGACTTTCACTGGGAGGATCAGACTGTCTGCTGTTTCAGGCGAAACTATATGGGAAGGAGAGTAGAGCTGGCGTATTGGTGAGAAAAGAGTAGCCGAGGATTATATTAAGATTTCACCTGAGGAGCTGGGACAGGGAACATGGTGTCACTGAGATGGGAAAGCCTGCCGAGCAGGTGCAGGAGGCACTGAGCAGTGCCGTTCGGGACACGTTCAGTTTGATCCAGGTAATGACAGTATGTAAGTAGTTGCATTAAAAAACCTGCACCTTGGACAAGATTTTGGAGATTGAAAATTAGGGGCTGTTAGTATAAAGGTCATTTTTAAAACCACAGAACTTTGAGAGCACCTTGGGAGGAGTGGATGCCAGTGGGGAAGAGGGGAGGATTGAGGACCAAGCCATAAAAAACTCCACAATTTAGAAATTATGAAGATGAAAAGGAATCAGCTAAAAAGACTGATGAGAAGGAGCGAGCACTGAACTAGAAAGAGAACCGAGGGAGTGATGTCCCAGAGACTGAGTGAAGGGCTTGTTTCACGGAAGAGGACGTGATGGACTGTGCGGAACAGTGCGGAACGGGGAGGGAGACGAGCCTGGGCGCTGGCCGCTGGATTAGCGGGAGACGCCGTCAGGCTCCAGCTCTCCGTGTCAGGCGGGCTCCCGTGGAGGTGGCAGGGACAGAATGTCTCATGGCTTCAAAGGAGATCAGGAGAAGAGGAAGTGGAGATGACGAGTGTGGTTGAGAAATTTTGCTGTAAAGCTGAACAGAGAAGTGAGTGGTAGCTGGGGTGGGGGGGTGGTTAAAGAAGGGTTTTTTATATTTTGCTATGATGAAACTGCTGGCGCACATGACACAAAAGAGAGCGTGTGAAGATGCTAGAAAAGAGGCACTGACCGCAGAGCCACGTGCACCTGGGGGCGTGGGGGGCAGTTCCTCCCCCGCACCGGGGAGGAAGGTGGGGGGCCCGGGGCCAAGTGCAGGGGACAGGGTGGGGGGCTAGAAGCCGGCCGTTTGAGGTGGGAGGGTGGGGGGGTTCTCGGGTGAGATGTTTCCTCAGTTGGACGCGGTTGGACGCAAGATCGTTGGCTGAGGGTGAAGGAGGTGGTTAGTGGTTTGGGGAGAGAGGAAGAGATGGAAAGTAGGAAAGTGGGATGTGGTTGGGCGAAGAGATGACAGAGGGGAGCTGGGTGGCGGTGGGTCAGAGGAGGCTGTCCGGCCTGGGTGCGCCTTGCCCAGCGCCAGGGCCAGCCCGGCTCCCACACTCATCCTGGGAGGCTCCTGAGCCTGCCTGAGGGCTGACTTGAGTGCCCTGCCTCTGAACTTCGCTGTGATTTCAGGAAGTCACCCTCAAACAAGCAAGGGGTGCACTGAGTTTCTGGCCTCGTTCCTGAGCGTCTGTTCCCTTTGCTGGAGCCTCATTCCAATCAAGGCCCCGGGTGGGTGAAGCTGTGGGAAGATTTATGGCAGTTGCTCGCCTGCAGAATAGAGAATGAGCTTTTTTTGTTTGTTTTCTTTGAACTGACCTGATTTTGGACAACACCTAGGCATTGTGAGCTGGGCCAGAATACAGACATACTACAAAGAGCCACTTGTTAGCCCATGGGAGATGACTGCCAAGGCAGGCGGCCTTTTACTGCCCCCGCCAGCTGGCTTTCTGCATCAGGAACAGATTTTACCCTCTGTGGCCTGCTTGTTATCGCTTCAGTAACTAAGCAGCTGCTATTCTAAATTCACATTTTTATAGGATATTGTAAATAAAATCAGTTTGTATATTTGAAAAAGAACAACCTGACAATCTTAGCCATACAGTGATTTTTTCCCCCCACTCATAGCCTTTACCTCAGGAATTAGAGGGTCAGCGGGAAGTGCAGACTGACTGTGTGCGCCTGTCCAGTCAGCCTCGCTAACGTGTGGCATTTTCACTGTCCCACAGATACGAAATGTGGAAACAAATCAGTGTCTAGATAACATGGCTAGAAAAGAGAATGAAAAAGTTGGGATCTTTAACTGTCACGGTATGGGAGGTAATCAGGTGAGTATTTTAGGCTCTAAAGGTATAATTTTCAGATTTGTTTTAATCTTCTTACTTTTTTATTTCATGATGTCATTCAGGAAATGTTTTCTACCTTAAAAGAGAAAATAATAAAGCCCTTTAGGAGAACTGAGCCTTCAGTATAATGATTACTTTTAAATGAAACATTTGTAAAAGGCCTTTTATGAGAACTGTATTTACATGGTTGTGAATGAATTTATTTTGTCCTTTTTGGTCAAACAAGGTGACAGCCCTTGGCAATACGCTCAGAGTATACAGAGAACTCAAGGTCATTTTTTCTTTCCTCTCTTCAAAATTATTAGTAGCTTTTCTGAGTCACTTACTCTCCATTACATTAAGAAAGTTGAAAAAATACGTATCTTGAAATACTTATACCACATCTTCTTTATCCAGTCACCTGTTGATGGACATTTAGGTTGTTTCCATGTTTTGGCTATTGTAAATAGTGCTGCTATGAACATTGGGGTGCAGGTGTCATCCTGAAGTAGATTTCCTTCTGGGTACAAGCCCAGGAGTGGGTTGAAATACTTGTCTTTCTCCCTGCCAGATTCTTGGGCACATAAAACAGCGATTAATTTACTTTATTGCCAAAGCTCATACGTGTGCACTTCTGGTTTTCAGGTTTTCTCTTACACCGCCAACAAAGAAATTAGAACAGATGACCTCTGCTTGGATGTCTCCAAACTTAACGGCCCAGTCACAATGCTCAAATGCCACCACCTAAAAGGCAACCAGCTTTGGGAGTATGACCCAGTGGTAAGTGATCCAGCTGAATACAGGAATAAAGTTGTGTGTTGTTGGGTGTATTTTATACATTGCTTTGTATCTAAAAGAGTGAACCCTTGTGGAGTCTGCATATGGATCAGTGTTCTCATACTCTAAAAACTGACAGGAAAAACAATGTAAGTAAAACAACATGCTTTATTTAATCTCCCCAGTAACTAACTTGGTCTTGCCTCCGGCCCCTGGGTCCTTGTTGTCACCATGTGGCCACTCTCCCATCTGTGTGTAGCAAGCTCTCCGTCCAGGGTGGGAGAAATGGTGCAGTGAGCAGGCTTTTTAAATGACTGAGTTAAACACCTGGGTACAAGTTTCATTAATTAATGAAACTCTCTAGCTCATCATTATGCTTCGGTGACTCATGTGACAGAACTCTCTCTGCCTTCCTCTGGAGCCGCTCCCTCTCCCCACCCGCTGTGTGTTGCACTTAACATGAAGGTGCTTGAAAGACACTGGTTCAGGCAGAGCGAGATCTCCAGTAAACCTCTTTGTATCAGGCTGCACCTCCCAGCCTGTGCGTTTGCTCTGCGGCTCTGGCACCAGCACCTTCACTACATCTTTTCTCTGGTTATTTTTCTTCTGCTTATGAGCACTAGCTTTCTTCTCCATGTTAGGAACGACTCTTGTTCCTACTGTGCTTTCTGCCTACCCTCCTGCTTTTCCCCTGTGTTGGATGACAGCAAGTGAATGGCCCACACTTGTGCCTCTGGTTCTTCACCCTGGCTCCTGCCTGGGCCCGACACTGTACCGGAACAGCTCCTGGATGCACAGCCAGGACATTCCCGTCTCTTTTCCTTAACTTCCAAAAGCATTTACTGTTGCAAAGCAGATATTTTAAAATCCTCTTATCTGTTGGCTTTAGATCCACTAGTGTTTAGTTTCTTGTCTTAGCTTTCTTCTCTCTGCTTCTTTCGTCTGCTTGGCTCATTCTGCCGCCTCATTCTACCCCTTAAATGGAGACATCCAAGCCAAGCTGTGACTTCAGCTGCCTTTGCTCCTTACACTGGGTCACATGCAAACCCTGGTCTACTTTCATTGTCAACCTGCTATTCCCTGAACACACCCTGTACTTTCTCACTTTACACTTAAGATCATACAGTTCACTCTGCCTAACAAATCCTACCCATTCTTGAGGACCCAGAATTGACATCACGTCCATGAATCCCAGCCAGAAATTAGCTGTCTTTTAATTATCGTCTCTGACCCCTGTAATGCTGTACTTCTTTACAGTCATCTGTCTACCAGTCTTCTCATCCCTATTAGATAGATCCTAGAGGGCAAAAACCAATCCAGGGTCTCCCTTCACAGTGTCAGACTGTAAAGTGTACACGTGTATTTCATGCAGCAGTAGTTCCATTAACATGACTATTGGAAATGGTGCGAGTACCCTGTTCCAGTGGTTTCCGTGGTGCATGCTGTTGCCATGTTGGGTGCAGCCGTCCTAAGCCCTGCAGGATACATGGCATCTCTGACAGTGGTAGCCCACAGTCGTGGTGGGAACCAAAATATTTTTAAAATTAAAAAGACCCCCAGTTGTATGTTCACTGAAAAATGATGATACATTTAATTAGGTAACAAACCTGTTTACTATATAATAGCATGAGAAAATAGTGGGGTTTTTTTTCTTAAGTGTGGAGGTAAGTGGATTCAATGGCGTAGCGGTGTTACATTGCAGCAGTCTTCTTGGCTCTTCCTGGCGGCCACTGCGTGGGTGCTACAGCTCTCAGCACCACAGCCAGCTCACGGCGGGAAGCGGGCATGCTGCACTGCTCCATGAACTGCTCTGTATCAGGAAAGCCAAAGCTTTTCCTGGATCCCCCGCAGTAGACTCTGCTCTGTCTCATGGACCAGAACCTCCTCCCACAGGAATGCCCCAGCCGCACGGGAGGCTGGGAAGACAGGCACTGTCTTTATGGTGTGACGCGGCCAGGAGACAGGGAGTGGGAATGGCTGTGGGCAGACTGTGGGAACCTGTAGGGTCTGCCGTGACAGTTACTCCAAAAGCAAATGCTTAGAAACTGGAGCTGCTTTATTTAGGGTATTCTGAAAGAACCAGTTACGAGTGTAAGTTTCAAAACTCCTAGAGCACTTTGCAAGGTGTCTTTCCTTAGATAGAATTTTAGTAGTGCAGGCTGGGTTCTCCCTGAAACAGACTGCAACCAGCTTAGCATTCAGGAGGAAGGAGTCAGACTGCACCGGCATAGTTGTGCTGCCTCCATCAGCTCAGAAACTAGCAGTCTAGAAAGATAATCTATTTATCTCAGTAATGTATAATCTAAAATTTCAGAGGAACCCAAGAAATAAAATCCAGGATAACGTTTAGTATATAGGGACACAGAAGCCCAGAATGGAAGTTAATTGCTCAAGGTCACAGAGCAGGTAAATGGTGTTCCCAGCTCTCAGGCAGCCCTGGGTTTCCTGGTCCAGGATTCTGGGCACAATACCATACTACTTCCACTCGGCCCTTTTGGGAATAAAGTGTAGATTTTTGACATAGTGATATCTAGTTAGGGGAAGGAGGCAGCAAACTACTTTTTCTAGGTGGCTGGTGGACTTTATGCAGTAATTTTATCCTCCTTTTTCAAAGGTTACAATTAGTTACCTGTCACTTGTTTTTCCCATTGCCTCAATCATACCTTTTCTCTGTGGAAACCAGGCAGTGCTGGCGGATCCTCTGCTGAGCCCAGTGACCACAGAACTCGGCACCTGCAGCCAGAGCGGGCTCTGGAACAGGACTCTTCTCCAGGGTCCAGGTCTCCTGAAATTATGAAGATTCTGTCTTAATTTTGAGCAGTTAAAGACCCAGTGTGGATCATTAATCATGTCTTTGTTATGAGTTTATTTTACATAAATGAAATAATACATTTTTTCAAATTGGGATGATAAAGACCAGTTCCCCAACTAAATTTTTTGTTGTGTTTAGTGTTTTTGTTTTTATTGGTACTGACAGTGGCCACTCAGAGAGGCCCTGCAGGATCTTCTGGAATATTTGAGGGGTTCTTTTTAAAAGCGCTCTGTTTTTGTCTTACATGTGACTAAAAGCCTTGGCAGCACCCAGAGTGATGGGGCTGCCAGAGCGCGGCCGTGGCTGCTCGGGCTGTTGCTAGGATGTTGTTTTCCAGTAGTAAGTGCCTCCGAGCTAGGCAGCAGCATTTTGTCCCCATTTTATAGATGAGGAATTGGGGCTCAGAGAGGTTTTTGTTCAGGGGCAACAACACTGTTGGTACCTGACAAATCTGGAGCTCACTCCCACTCCCAACACGTGAACTACACAACATCTGTATAAAAATAAAAGCCACCCCCGCCAAGCTGACTGTCCTCCGGGCGCTGTTCTTACGCCTTTGTAGGAATTAAAGTATCTAATACTAACCAGAGTCGGAGCTGACAGTAAACTGTGGCGTCTGCACATCTGCCTTTCGCCAGCTTCCACTGTGACCACAGCACAGAAGAAGCGACTGAAAGCCAAAGTAGCTGTGTTGTATGCAGTCATTGGGTTTTGCTGTTTGAAGTTCAAATAAGCACTAAAGAGGCAAGAGGCCTTATGAAAATGAAATGCTCCAGATGAAAGAATTACGTTAAAATAGAGCCATGAGTAAAAATGTGTGCTAAAGAACACTTCCCGTTTCCTTACTGCTGTGCACACTACTTACCAGGACAATGCGCAGTGCAGGCTCCCACACCGCTGCGTCGGCGTCCCTCACCTGTCCGGGGCTGGGTAGGGTGCATTAGTAGGGCCAGTATGTAGCTGTTAACTCTCGTTTGTCCTGTCCTTTTGAAATCACCATGACAGCATCAAGTCTGGAATGCAAACAGGTAGACAGGAAGACATATAGCCGTATCTGCCAGCCACTTATAAAGGACTGCTTTATAAATATTGTGATTTCTTACGATTTTGAGTCTTCAAGCCCCGAACTGCTAAGGACTTGAGGCTTGGAATCACAGAGTTAATTTGAACAGCCTTATCATGGGAAAATGAAACAGTTTTGAAATACCTTTTTGAAAATAGGTTGAGGATCCTAAATTAGGAATCACTAATCTGATCATTTTTTCAGGAAACTGAAGCACAAAGTGAAATTTCTCACAGTATTACAGAGCTATGGCAGAATTGGGACTTAGAATTCAGGTCATCCTCCTGTAACTCCAGTGTAACCCACTGTACCCCCAGTGCCTTTCTTCCCACCACATAGCCTTTAATGCTCTCTTTACACAGACAACTTTTCTTCATTGCCTTTTAATTTGCAAAAACAAAAATCTTCTCTACAGAGAAATGTCCTCATCACCAAAAACGATGGTTGAGGTGTTTTGGTTTTGTCTTCCACTTTAAGACTTTTTTCCTGTCACTTTCAGAAATTAACCCTGCAGCATGTGAACAGCAACCAGTGCCTGGACAAAGCCACCGAAGAGGACAGCCAGGTGCCCAGCATTAGAGACTGCAATGGAAGCCGGTCCCAGCAGTGGCTTCTTCGAAACGTCACCCTTCCGGAAATATTCTGAGACCAAATTTACGAAAAAACAAAAAAAAAAGATTGACTGGGCTACCTCAGCATACATTTCTGCCACATTCTTAAGTAGCAAAAAAGGAAAAGTGCTTTCCTCCTGCGGGATGTAAGGTTTATCAGCCATTAAAGCTTCAGCGGCTCTTGGTCCCACTCGCTGTGAACCAGCCTTCCTGTCCAAGGACGTGAGACCACACAGTAGCGAGACTGTGCACGCTGATGTTTACACGATTGAAAGAGTCTTTCATCCAGAATCATTGTAAAGAATATTCAGACTGAAACAATCTACAAAATGTGCTTTCGGGAGAGCTGCACCTTCTGTGGTTTGCTTGCACATCAGGAATTTCTGCTGAACGTGCTGTCATAATGAAGAGATGTCCAAGGGTTTTTTTCTGATTAGAACTGGTAGCCAGTATATTACATATGGATATAAAAGTAAACGAAAAAGAACTGGAACCAGATTCAGAATCATGAAAACATTTTTACAACAATTAAAAAAAAACTATATTAAACAGGGTTTAAAAGAAATTAAAACAGAACTATGAGAAGTACAATTTGTTATAGTATAGTATAAAATTTCTATATAGATTTTATACCTCACTGGGAAAAATAACTGATTCCAATGACGTTCATTTTGTTTTCATCTGTGATGGTCATGGATGCTTTTTTTTTCCTTGGGGTGCTGAAATTGAGCTGAGAAAAAAGTGGCTCTTTGAACGTAGTTTTAATTGCTTTCTATGGTTTTTTTTTGTTTTTAATTTGGTTTGTGGACTGTTGGAATTGTAATTTTTAATTGCCTTCAAAAATGGAGATTTAAAATAATGTCTGGTTTCACTGAACAAGTTTGATATCTCAGTTGCTCTTGGGTCAGCCGGCTGATAGACTTTGTCACACACACACACACAAATTTCTTATTAGATTTTCAACTTCCTAATTTGATTCAGCTGATAATGCTTAATACCCAAGATTCATACTACTGTACTACAGGTTTGTTTTCACAGCAATAAATCTTCTGTTCTTTTGTTTATGATTCCACTCAGCATAAGGCCTGCACAAGTGATTTATTATTTGGGTATTTGGACATGATACATTTGATGGTTTTTTGAAAAACTTTTTTCACTCCATACTCAGATGTGCTTCATTGTCAAGTGCATATTTAGATTAGGTTCTTGAATTGTAATGTTGATCTGCTGCTTCTTTTTTTTTAATAAAATTTGACTGAAAATGTTTAATTGGCATTTTTTAATGAGTTAGCCAAAGAAGTGCAGCTTTTATTCCGTACTATTAGACCTGCATTTCTTCCCTAAATTCCATTTAGGTTAAATCAGTTTTCTTTTTCTGATTTTTAATACTACAAAATAGCCTGAGTATTGACTAGAAGTTGAGTATCAATTAATGTTTGAATCTCACAAAGAAAAATCTCACTGTGAAATTTTTCCTGATATGTGAAGCAATCCATCAGCAAAGCAAAGTGCATATATTTTCCTTCCTATTTGTAAGATTATATTTAATGATATTCTTTTCTTTGATTATCAAAGACTCTCACTGCAGGCAGTGCTGTTTCTTGTGCCTAAGAATGTTTCTGAAAGTTGCATCACTAATGTTACTTGGCAGGTTGAGCAGAAAGTGTCTCGTGTCCTGTTCAGGTCGGTGAGCACGATGCGTGCGCGGACGCGCTGGGGTGAGGCTGCAGCACCGAATGCAGACGTTCGTCCCCAGGAAATCTGAGGTGAAGCAGGTGCTGGGTGGGACTTTTTCCTACTCTGTGAGCTGTGTTAATTCTATCTTTGGTAGGCCTAATGCTTGAATCAACCAGATGTTTAATCAATAAATTATTTTCATGCTCAGAATTTCAGGTTTTATACTCTAGTGTAGCTTGGTCATATTCTTTACTGTAAGAAAGCTTAACAGCAATGTGACTTAAGGTTTTGTTGTATTTTTTAAAAGGGTGATGTGAGTGACTTAATCCATGGGTACTTTTAGAACCTGATAGATAACCCCATTGCCTTTATTTTTCTAATTAAAGAATTCCTACATACTTTGGAAATACAAAATATTCCTGAATAGTTGTGCCTTACATTGGTTTTATTTAAAGTTAAACTGGCTCCCTGTTCTTTATAGCTGTCTGTTAGATTAGGCGGTGTGCTGATCACTGCTCTAAATCAAACTGCAAAGGAAAGAATGAATGAAAAAGAAAGCGAAGGATGAAAAGATGGGATTATTGACCAGTGAAGAATTCATAAATGGACAATTAAGGATAATTTGAATCTCACAAATCTAGTCACCCTATTCCAATCCCAACCCATCTTAATATGTCTTTCTGTTCTAATTGAGATTCTTGAAAATAGTACTTTATTCACCATTCTGCAAATAAAAGGCAGCATGTAGGCCGTGCCCTCGTTTCCCTGTTCCACATTCAGCTGAAAAACAAAGGTTCCTCTGTAAAGATCTGGTGCTGTCTCCATCTTTCAAGAAGTACACCAAGAACAACTTAACTCCAGAATTACATGTGCTTCAAAGGAGAAGGAAATCAGAAAGGCAGTGTTTTTGAGGTGATAACTGAGAAGAGGAATACAAAGCGTGAATCGTTTTGCGCTCTGGAAAATCAGATGTTTCCAATTATATGACACTGCTCCCATTCCCTGACTTCTTGAAGATTACCAAGTGTTTGCTTGATAAATCTCCCAGAACTAATAATTTTGCAGGATATGAGGCAAAACTCAGTTGTATTACCTTTACACTAGCAACAAATAATTGAGAATTACATTTTAAACATGTAATTTATCATCAAAGTAAGTTAACAAAGACATGTGCCAGACTCTTACCCTGAAAACTATGCAACATTGCTGAGAGAAACTTACAGAACACTGCAATAAATATATTATGTTCGTCGATTGAACGACTAATGTTAAGATCTCAGTTGCCCACAAATTGATCTATAGATTCAATGAAATCACAAAATGAGGTTTTCTTGGAGATCTTGGCAAATATATATGGAAATGCAACAAACCCACACAAGCCAAGAAAATGTTGCAGAAAGAAAAAAAAAGTTGGAAGACTTCACTCAATTTTATGACTTGCTTTAAAGCTACAGAGACTAAGAAAATGCGGTACTAGAGGTACTGCCAACAGGCAGGTCAATGTATAGAACAGAGTCCAGAAATCATACCCACACGTGTATGATTATTGACTCCAACAAAAATTCAGTAAGGAAGGGAAAATGCTTTCAGTTGGAGCCAGAGTAACTGGATGTCTGCGTGAGAAATCAGTGAACACTGATGCTTTCACACGATGCACGTTAATTCAGAATGGATCACAGGCCTAAATGTTAAGGGCAAAATGAATTTCTGGAAGAAGACAACATCTTCATAACTCTCAGGATAGACAGATATCTTAGGACACAAAAGATGTTAACCATAAAAGAAAAAACCCATAAATCTCACCAAAATTAAACTTTCTCATCAAGAATATGCTATTAAAGTGAAAAGGCAATCCGTGGCCATGGAGAAAATGTTTGCGGGACACATAACTGACAAAGGAGTCATGTATGCAGAAAAATAATGTTTTAAAGCCAGTGTGAAAGCAACACAATATAAAAATCCATAAATGACTTGAATAGACGCTTCACGGAAGCTGTCCAAAGGTGCAGCTAGCACAGAAGAAGGCCCCACCATGCGTCACCAGGGAGTGCGAAACGGAGCCGCAGGGAAGTAACGTTGCACACCTGCTGGATGGTGAGAGGGTGGAGCAACTGGTGCAAGTGGAAGCCAGTGTGATCACCTTGGGAGACAGCGTGTCAGGTCCTTACAAAAGTAAACATATGCCCACCCTCTACTCAGCGATTCCGACTTCCACAGACACAACCAAGAGAAACGAGAGCATGCGCCCACAGTAAGATTTGTGCAGGAATAGTCAGAGCTTTACAGTACTCCCAAACTGAAACTACCCAGATACCCATCAACAAGTTAGTGGATAATCAAAATAATGGTATATTTATACATTGGGATACTAGTCTGGAATTTTAAAATGTGAATTTCTGTTAGAACAATAGGGATAAGTCTTAAAAATGTTGAGCAAAGAAAGACGTTACATTTATATCAGGTTCAAGAACAGGCAGAACAAATCCTAGGGTGATCTCTGGCGGAGTACAGAGTGGAAACAAGCATGAGAAACCTTTCTGGAATAATGGAAATACTCTATAAATTGATTCAGATAATGGTTAACATGCACATAACTTAAAATTTTATTGAGTTGTATACTTAGGACACATGCACTTTATTGTAGGTAAATTACACCTCAGTAAAGCATTGGGGGAGGGGAATGAGGAAGATAAATTTCTGACATCAAGATTTTCTCCACTGCTACAAAATGCCCAAAGGCTGAATAAATTGCAACAAACATACTTCCTATGGGATGCTGAGCTCAGAAGGAAAATATGAAAAATCCCTAATGTCTAGGGAAAAAATGGGGGGAAAAGGGGATTCATAAACTTAAGCTGCAGAAGTTATTGCTAAATATGAAAGCCCTTCTTCTCCTAGGAACAAAATACAGTAACCAGAGTTTGAGGAATGGGATTTTAGGCCTGGGGCCTGAACAGAGTTGGAGAACTGAAGATCGTCTGCATAAAGCTGGGAGAGTCAGAGGCGTTACATCTGCAAGTAAAAGAGTGGCTGGGGAAGTCTGCCACCTTGTAAAGGAAACCGAAGGTAATCTGATTCTGCCCCTTTTTCAGGTGTAAAGGGTGACGAGGATGACGCCTCCCCTGTAATCACAAAGCCTGATTTTACATAGATCAAGGGTTTAAAGCCACAGTCATGATGCCTACAGATCAAGAAACAGTGAGTAGACTTACGGCACTTGCTGGAAATCATTATAATACATGCCTTTGAAAAAATTCCAGTCCCTTACATCCCCACAAATTAAATTATGGAATCATCTTCAAAGAGAGGAAGTGAGCCCCCAGTATGAACTTTTTTTTTTTTAAGTTTGCTGGAGATCAAGATGGTGGAGGATGCTGGGCTCACCTCCCCCCCCCCCACGAACACATCAAAACTACAGCTACACAGAGTGACTCACACTGAAGTCAACCTGGAGACTGGCAGAACAGCTCTCCTACAACCAAGGCTGTGAAGAAAGATCGACAGGGAGGCTGTTGGAAGGGAAGAGAAGCTATCTGGTCGGGACCTGTTCCCCTAGTGGGGGACACAGAAGAGGAGGGGGAGCTCACAGCTCAGGGATCCTCCCTGGGCTCAAGCCACATATTAGGCACCCTAGCCCTGGGGTCTGCCACAAGGAAGATGCACCCTCTCAGCTGGTCTGGAAACCAGGAGAGCTTACCTGAGGGCTGTAGGAAACTGAGACTCCATTTGGAAGATACATGCATGGACTCGCTTACCCCCATCACAGTGTGGAGGCAGCAAGCTGAAAACTGCCTGGGGCTCTGGCTAGCTTGCCAGGACCACCCCAGTGCACCCCCTAGGCTGTACTGGGCTCCTCCTCCAGTCCCTCTTGCTCGGCTGCTTCCCACCAAGGCAGCAGCTGCAGATTTCAGTGAGCTTATGCACACCTGGAAAGAGCTGAGCCCGCTCAAACTCTGACCCTACCTCTGATGAGGTCGGAGGCAACCACTGCCAGCAAGCACTTCGGTGCACACACACAGGAAGGAGCGAGGCTGGCTCCGGGTAGAGACCGTCATGAGAGCAGCAGTCCCTGTGCAGACTCAGAAGGGAGTGAAGCTAGCTCCAGGTCAGAGACAGGCGTCACAGGAGCATGTGTCCCAGCTCAGTGGTGTGCCACCAGCCCCTCTATCCCCAACCCAGCCAAAAACCAAGGTGTGCACACCAGAGAAAAAGTGCAACCAGCAGAGTACAGCCCCAAATCCTTAGGCCTCAGCCACTTCCCAAACCAAGGTGGAGACTTCCATCACAACTGGGAGAAACCTAACTCCCTCGGGGTTTCTGCTGCAGCCCCTTGAGCCCCAGCCCTGGCCTCAACAGGGCAGTGACAATCACTGAGTATAGGAAAAGCCGCAGCTTGCACCTGGCTCTGGCTCTAGCCCCTCCAACTCCAGACCCACAACAAGACATTTAATTAAAATGCCAAAAGTTAAAGAGAATTCTAAAAAAGGCAAGAGAAAAAGCAGTGGCTCCCAGCACACCCTGGGGGAAGATGCAGCTCATGCTCCCTTGAGAACCAGCTCTCCACCAAATCCACTGGGCACACGCAGACTGCATAGGGATGCTCCCATACAAGGACACACCTCCAAGAACAGGCTAGGTAACTACTGCACCTCATCTCATAGAGACAGAGTTAAAATGAGAAGACAGGAATGTGTTTCAAACAAAAGATCAAGGAGGAAAAAGAAAAAACCCAGAAAAACCCTAATGAAACAGAAAGAATTTAGTTGATAGAGTTCAAAGCAATAGTAATAAGAATGCTAACTGAACGAGGGGAAAGAATAGATGAACACGGTAAGAATTTTAACAAGGAACTAGAAAATGTAGAAAGAACCAGCCAGAGCTGAAGAATATAATAAATGAAATGAAAAACATACTAGAGGGAATTAACAGCAGATTAAGTGACACAGAAGAATGTGAAAGCTGACTGGTTACTAGTATGGAAAGTGAATCAGTAGTGAAAATACTCCCAAGAGACAAAAGACGAGGACCAGACAACCTCATGGAGGGATTCTACCAAACGTACAAAGAAGAGTTAATACCTGTCCTTTTAAAACTATCCTAAAAAATTGAAGAGGAGGGAATACTCCCAAATTCATTCTATAAGGCCATCATTACCCTGATACCATAACCAAAGACACAACAGCAACAGAAAATTGCAGCCTGATATCCCTGATGAATATAGATACAAAAATCATCAACAAAATATTAGCAAACTGAATTCAATTATATATAAAAGGATCAGACACCATTATGGAGTGGGGTTTATCCCACGAATCAAGGTTGGTTCAAGATCCACAAATCAATGTCATACATCACATTAATAAAATGAAGGATAAAAATCACGTGATCATCTCAGTAGATGCAGAAAAAAACATGACAAAATTC